TGATGAAACATTTACTCTGGAAATAACTTTCATTAGCAGTTGTGATCACATTAACCGAGAAAGAAAACTAATTATTTTGTAAAAAAAAAATTTAAAATTTTTATTTATTTTTTTTTAGCAATTATTGTTTTAGATTTTATGTCTGACAGTTGAATTCTCAGATCATGAGCAGCATCTAATCAATTTATGATTTTGTTTTTTGGTGTAAACAAAAACAGAAAATAAATAACATAAACAGATCATGGTTTTTTTAAGGAAAAAACAACCTAGTAATCTAAACGTTGTAAATGGTTTTCAGAGAAACACATTTCTTTATTGTTAAATTTCACCATTTCTAAAAGCTTCAAACATGATCTTTCAAATTCTGCTAACAGTTTCGTCATTTGAAATCTCACAAAATATATTTTGCCAAAAGATAGATTATTTGCATAGAGTTATGAAAGTGTTTCTATATAAAATATTTTAACTTAAAAACGTTCCCTTCACAAAATAATTTATCTTTTAATCGGAACCTTCCCAAATTTGTTCAGCACCTATATATTCCTTTAATTTAAAAATATTTTTAACAGGAATAAATAAGTTTAAAACAGTTTGTAAAGCCCATTCTTGTCTACCATTTATTAAATTTTTCCCAAAGTGTGACTACTCTGTACAACTATTAAGTACGTTCCTCAAAAAGAATAATGGCCGAAATAAATGCTTATTCCCCTATCTCATTGTCGCCAACTTATATATGTACTCCCATTCGTTCCGCCAAAAATGTATCATTTGTATAACAGATTATTATCATTTGTATAAGAGAATTTAAAAAAAAATTCAACCACCATCGTTTTTTAATAATTTTGGTATTTGTGACTAAACCAACAAGTTTAATGATAGCTGAGACCCTTTGAAATGAAATGATGGTTAACAGTAGAAAGTGACCACTAAATTTAATACAGCTGACCCAAGTTTGAGTGCACGAGTATCAAAGTTCCCCTCCGTAGCCTTTTATTTTAAAACCCAACCCAGAAAACAATGGAACGCCTGGATCAAGCATTGAGAGAAACTACCCTTCGTGGAGGACTTTTGAGGGAACTTTGGGTCACATAGAAAAGAAAACCACGAAAACTTCCCACGGCAAGAGGACTCTAACCCATGATCCGTCTACTACTGGGGATATTTTACGTCAGCATAGTGGTCAACGCGAGCCAGGTACAGAATTCATATCTACCAGTCATCGCTATGATTGGAACCTTGATCACCTCATTGGAAGGCCAACGCTATATCTCCAGAGCTAACACAGCTCAATCTAATATAGGATACCACTTTTTCCATAAGGCAGGGGTCTGTTCAGAAGAAATTTGGGTCCGTTAACGGACCCTTTATGAAATATATTTTCATAAAAACGGACTCCTCACAAAATATTTTAACTTAAAAACGGACCCTTCACAAAATAATTTATCTTTTAATCGGACCCTTCACAAATTTGTTTATCTTGATTATTGTTTTGTTATCGAATAAACCTTTCCCAGAGGGGAAAACAAGAAAGATGGATGTAAACGAATTAAGTTTTGACTTCGGCAGACGCTTCTTCCATTATTCGTCCGAAATGAATATTCTGCATTTAGCAGTGTAGGCTAAATACCAAATAGTTATTTGCAAGTTGCATCTCTGATTTAAAAGCAGCAATTTCTGCTTATTTTTGAAAATTTAATTTTTTCATTACGATTTTACAGTGCTGAGCATAATCCCGTATCTCTTCACAATTTAAAAACTCCTTGAAAAATTTTTTGCAGTAACCGGACCCTATTTGCACAAATTCATAAAAGCAGGGCGTTTATTTTATATTCACAAATTACGAGTAATTTTTTCACAATTTTACAAAAACGGACCTTTCACAAAATGTCTGGACAGACCCCTGCATAAGGTTACTTTTTGTATCACTTCAATATAAAAAAAAATCGAGAGAAACTGATTAATGAGTTGATAAAATTGGTCTTTTATTCTACAAGTTTTTCTTTTTACTATTATAAAAAAAATTTATGGAAAGCAGAGCAGTTTACATGCCTGAAATATGCTGTTTGAACTAATGCGAACATTAAATTATTTGATACAATATTTTTACATAATATTACATATAATATTATAATTAAAATCTTTACATAATGTTGTTGCCAATTATTAAGATATAAAAATTTCAATTTAACTTTAGAAGTCTACATGTCTATACTCAGGGTCAGGGGTTGAATGTTGGAGAAATAACATAATTTTTAAAAATTACTTCCTTTTTTAATTATTATTTTACTACCATTTTGTAAATTAATTCCCTAAGTTAAGGTAACAAATATTAGCAAATAACAATTTATTTTCCGTTTATTTAAATAATCTATGCTTAGTAGCGGTCAAATTCTTATTAAATTAACTATATTAAACCAAGAAAACATAAAATGTTTCTGCCACTGTTAATAAGAAATCGGTATAAAAATAAATAAATAAATAAATTTTTAAGGAAAAAAATTAAACGAATATAAAAATTCCGATTTCGCAAAAAAAATAATAATAAAAAACATAATTTATGTCTAAAAACAATTTTTTCCGAACAATTTTTTTTAAATAATTATAAACTTTTGTTACATTTAAAACATTTTAAAAGACTAAAACTGGCACCTAACTAAAAAAGGACAATTGTGAAGTAAACATAATGATTAAACTGATTTTGTTCTTAGATTTAATTTTGTTTCACAGATTTTTTATATATTTATACACTGAACCATCGTCTCCTGCTAGGTTAAGTCTAGTTGATTTCACTCTTCCTTTCGGATTGTTTCGCTCGTTTATTGGACACTAATCCAGGAATGATACATGTGATACTATTCCAAGAATATGTTTGTATGAATTGTAGTTCTCTTTTTTAAAATAAAGTACTAAAATTATGCAACAGATAATTCACAACGATTAGTTAGGTGACGAAACAGTTTGAAGTCCTTTATTCTAGCAGAAACTAGTAAAATACGTGGAAACCAAAGAAATGGGTTGAAAAACGAAAAGAAAAAAAAAACATTTAATGAGGTAATATAACAGGATTAAAATGGAAAGTTTTAGAGGGCGAGCAATGTCATTCATTATAAGGGACATAATAGTGGGCTATCCTAAAAATTATAGAATTTTCCAGCTTATACAATTGTAAATTTAAGAGTTTAGGAATACAGCAGGAACATAATTTTATTTTACTTTATAACCGTAAAACACCTTAGCCAAATTTGGGATTTAGGACTACTAATGTTCAACTCCGTAGCCTTATAATTTCTAACCTAATCCAGAAGGCAAGGGAACTCCTGGATCAAGTATTGGGAGAAATTTCCCTTAGTAGAGGACTTTTTGATGGAACTAATCCGCATTTCAGTTACATGCAGAGGAAAACCACTGGTACCTCCCACGGTTACCCTGAAGGCAAGAGAACTCTAACCCGTTATCAGTCTACCACTGAGAATATTTCACGTCAGCACTGTGGTCGGTGCGAGCCGGTGCGAAAATCGAATCGACCAGCTATCGTTGGGATCGAACCCGGGTCACTCATTGGGAGGCGAATGCTTTATCCCCTGAGCCGTGGCGGCTTGCAGGAACAGAATTGTTAAAAGATTCGTAATAAATACTATGGAATTTTATGAAAGGAAAACGCTTTAATTACGATATTTACAATAATTTTGGAAACCTAATCAAAATTCGAATTACAACATGTCTAATCAAAATATACAACTATTGTAGAGTTGAGTTGTAGGCTGCTGATACTTCAATAAGAATTGTATATTTTAATTTTATATCCGTCGTTGAACAGCCTACCCAATTTTGGGTTTACGACTACTAATGTTCAACTCCGTAGCCTTGTAATTTTGAGCCAATCTAGAAGACAAGGAAACTCCTGAATCATTACCCCCAGAGGTATTAATTTGTTATGAGAACATGCAGGACTTTGCGACTCGACACATTTAACGTGCATCAGTCACCATTTACTACACATGGAGTCTTCGGCCGGCGGGGATCGAACCCACAACCTCTTGGACATGGGCCTAGCGCCCTACCAACCAGGAACAGATTTAATTAAAAGATCTCCCCTAGAATGACCTGCATTTATTTCGGAGGCATTTCTGCCCAATCTACGCTGATTCTATTCTGCCTCATTGAAACGCCCAATTCTTCTCTGTTAATTAAAACTTCAAAACGTTCTAAATTATTATGTAATCTACATACATTAAAGCGACAAATCAAACATATTACATAGTTCGTTTAGAACAGTGTTTCCCAAACTTACAACTTTTGTGTACCCCTTCTAAATTTTTTGTAATGCTGCGTACCACTAATAAAAAAAATTAATGTATTTTTTTAAAAATATGTTTATTTTTATGCTTTGATATAAAGTTGTGTTAATAAGTTTATTTGCATCAGCGAGAAGGATGATATTGTTTTTGCTGTGATAACAGTTTATCATAATTTGTTTCTCTTGTGGTCAATTTTAGTCTGAGATGCGATTCCACGTACAATAATCTGTTTCTTTTTCGAATTAATGTCCACGAAAGCTGAAAAAGCGACTTCACATAAATATNCGGTGGGGATCGAACCCACAACCTCTTGGACATGGGCCCAGTGCCCTACCAACCAGGAACAGATTTAATTAAAAGATCTCCCCTAGAATGGCCTGCATTTATTTCGGAGGTATTTCTGCCCAATCTCCGCTGATTCTATTCTGCCTCATTGATCTATTCTGCCTCATTGACGCCTGTTTCTTCTCAGTTAATTAAAACTTCAAAACGCTCTAAATTATTACGTAACCTACATACATTAAAGGGACAAATCAAACATATTACATAGTTCGTTTAGAAGAACAAGTTTTCTGCCCAACGTATTAACTCAGTTTGTTTCAGCTCATTGTTACCAATGGGAGAAAAGAAATTAGATCGGTTTTGTGATGGCATATAAGGTTCCTTACAAAATAGATAATATATCATTTTATTTATACTAACCTCTCTCGTATTATCCTTGTTTTCTCCATCTCCTTTCTCGTTTTGATATTTTTGTTGAGAAATAGAAAAACTGCTGAAAGAAAAATTTATTTCTTATTAAAATAATAAACTCGTTTTTAGAAAATCTATGCTGTGATAATCACCGACTTAAATGCATATTTTACGAATCCTAATGTAAAAGGAAATCTAAAGCAGTCATAGCAGGGGTCTTCAAGTTACTGTTTGAGCGAGTAGGAAACAAAAAAGCTATCGAAATCTCAAGAATCACTAACAATGAAAATGAGATTGAAAACTATAAAACCAGTTTAATTGACGGATGAAACTTAGAAGTGTATCTCATGAAAACCTTTCAACTATTCTCTGTTTCTTCCGGCAATCAAACTGGTTTTGATGTCAGTTCCACTTTACTCAGAATAAGTTCGTTAGATTCCGACAGCGTTTTTTTCTCCCTCCTTTAAATAAAAATTAAGTTGAGGAACCCGAATGCACATACTGCTATACTTCATTTTTGACAAAATTTCTTAATATAGATATATTATAAGCTGACACTCGAGAAACTTGGTATTTTATAGTTATTTATAATGTTATCATATTAAAAACATTACGACTACATTAAAAAATAGTTTTTAAAAATATAACAAGGGCCATAATGAGAATTAGCACAAACTATAATATAAAATGAGACAACAGAAAATTCGTTTCACTATTTCGAAGTACAAAATAACCTCAACAAAATGTTTAATAAAATTAATTTTAATAAGATAAATATAGGAAAAAAATCTTAACGCATCCGAGTAATTTTGAATCGTGTTTTTATGATAAGGTAATTTTTTAGCTATATCTGAGCAATCTCGCCTTCGTATAAGGCTGCTTTCTTTCAAACTAACCCACATATCCTTCACATGGAGGTTTGTTTTGAATTTTAAACGCCATAACTAATTTTTAATATGTTTATAATTACAAATTACGTACATTAAAAAAAACCTTAATAACATGCTGTATCTTATTCATTGAGACCTAAAATAATCTAAGCAAATCTATAGAGTAATTCAATGGTTCTGAAAATGTAGTAGGGCAGGACTCCCAAGAGGCAATGTAGAATAGGACAAAATAATAGAATGCATGTAAGATTTCTTCCTAAAATTAATAATAATAATGCTTGAAAAAAAATAGGTGGTAAAATTTCCTACTATTTATGGAAGAAACAAAGATGCCAAGTACAAATATTTTATTAAAATTACACAAATTAGCTTTAAAATTCTGCATAATTTGTTTTTAAAATTAAAATGTTGACTAAAATTGAAAAAAAAAACAAATGCATATTTAATTATAAATTTGTATGTAAGAATTTTTTTTACTATTAGTAATCTATTATTCTTTAAGTTGGGGGGAGGGACAGGGGTTACTTCATTTTGCTTGTTTATAGTGCAGGGAAAAATAAGAAGATAGATTCTTAGTTTTTATAGAAAAAAAGAAGTCTTTAGACTTTTTTGCTTACAACAAAATATTAATTATTCAAACGTAAACATAATTCTACGGTATATCTATCTATACTACATATTTAGAACACTAGACAAAATTGTTCCTTTTTTTCCCGCTACGGTCATTTCACTTTCACTAGGGCTGTAACTTACTCGTAAAAGAAAAAAAAACTTGTAGTGCAAGTCATTTTGCCTTGTTTAACTGAACATTTAAGTATCATGACTACGTTGTGATAGCAATCTAAATTATTTCAGATAAACGATAAACCATCGTGATCGTCTTATTTATCTTTCAATACGATGATAAAATTTAGCCATTGACTTTTAAAAATTAAAATAAAAATTAGTAGTCAAACAAATAATTTAATGTATGCTCAAATAAAAGGAAATATTTCTAAAACTTTAAGAAAAAATTTACACCAGTTTTCTGAGCGTAAGCTACAGGTTTAATAACTTCCAGTTCCACTTTTAAAAGATTCAGATTTATAATTAGATCCAGATGAAAATTTAAATTAAATCTCTAATATCTATGTTTAAGATTATAGTCTTCTGGGTTATATAGAATTATTCATTTTTCTGCCATAACAGAATGAACGATAACAGTCATGGAGAATGAATAACAGTACTCTTCCTCTTTTTAAATCTTTTAACTTACTCTTTTTAACTTACATCAAATAAGCATTTAGAGCAAATAGCGCCTTGCATTGTTGTTGAAAAAAATAAGTCTATAAAATATCCATATCTCCATATCATATTTCCGCGAAATAAGCAGTAAACTTATTTGATCTGATAATGAGGCCCATTTAGGTTTCAAGGTCCGGTTGGAAAAAAAAATCTTCAAGAACAAATCCAACGTTGTTTCAGAAATAAATATATAGGACTTTTCCACATTGTTTTTAAATTAAATTAATCGAAATTAGGGGGAGGTTAAGATTTGAAGCAAAAATCGAGTTACGAGGTCATGGAAACTTTATACAACCTGTTAAATATAATAAAATTCGAATTTTTTTTCTTAATTTTTCTTCTCTTTCAAGATTCCCCAGAAATAGCCGACGATTTGAAAATATAAAAAAAGAAGGAGAGAGAAATGTACAGTTTGCAGCATTTTGTACAGAAAACCAGATGTTTTCTTACGAAATTTCATAATTAGTTGCCAAGTTAATCAAAAGATATCGCCGTATAAAATTAACATATATCAGTGCAAATATTTGCTCTGATATATGTTAATTAACATGTTTAGTGGCTTGCAGTGGGGGATGGGGTGAAGGAAGCAACAGCGCAAACAAGCATCCAGTTAATGGGTTTAACGTCCAAAGATACAAAATTTAAATCTATTGTGATTTTTTACAGAAATTAAATTTTCTAACAGAAAAATATTTAGCTCGAGCATATTTTATGCAGAATAAAATATAATTTTCATACAAAATTTATTAACGAAGTTTTCGCATCCATTGAACATGTTTAAAAAGTAATGAAATAAAAGTGCTGCGTACATTAACGTCTTACACTTTTCTTACACTTTTACAATTTTCTAAACAATAAAATAAACAAGACTTACTTTTTTTCATTGACTATTTCATGTTCTTCATGAGTGTCTTTAGAAAGAAGCTCTTGTAATAAATGAAGTTCTTTAGATGCCGACTAAAAAAGAATAATAGATATTGAATACGTTGCAGGAAATTTTGCTAATTACAAACACAGAGATTCAGACAAAGTTAAGTCAATTAATCTAAAAAAGAGCTATTCAGAAAAGCATTAATTTTTATTAAAAGCATAGTTCTTTTGTTAACTAACAAATAGGCAACATACATTTGAATAGCTTAAAATGGATAAACCAGGTAAGTGACATTTTAAGAATGGCTAAATTTAAGGTAAGAAGAAAACAAGTGATATACGAACTATTTTATCTTAGATTTATTGGGGTAAGAGCTTATAATTCTTTGATTTATTTTATTTGTTACTACCTAATATAAAATAAAAATTAAGTTACCATACTCAAAACAAACTTCGATTAGTTATATTAAACTTAAAGTAAAAGCCAAAACAATTGTGTTATATTAAACATACCCCTATTGATGTAACCACTTTATATTATTTCTCCTCATTGATAAAAAGCCCTGAAAATGTCACTTACCTGCTGATAATAAATAGAATTTATTGTAATAGAATTTATAATTTTATGTAACAATTGTTAATATATTAATCTGAACGATTACCTGGATTTAAAAACAATCAAATGCAATTGAAAAAATGATAATTTAAGAAATAGAGATTGTGTGGATCAATTAGAAAAATTTAATGAAGTAATTTTACTCGTTCGTTAAACAAGGTTTTATGATGTAATTGATGTGTAATATTACACCAGAGTTGAGTAATTAAGTGATTAATGATGTTGTGTTGTTTTTTGCTCCCTCTCTCTCTCTCTCTCTCTTTTGCTCTCTCTCTCCGCCCAAGTACTCGAAAGAGAGGGATCACGTGACAAGGAGGGACTCTGATGTTGCGGATAGACAAAAGACATAAAAAAGTAAAACTGTGAGCTTTCTCTACCTCCATTACAGCTTTATGACTTGTAGTACCCTTTTATTTATTTATTAACAATACACAGAAAAAATTTTAAAAATTGGAAACTTACAAGTACTGTGCAAGAACTAGTATAACATTTGGTCAAAAATAAATCAAGATATTATTTGATCAAAAACATTTTCTTATTATACCCATAGCATATACTATGTATTAGAATAACAATGTAAAAGACGTATTATATATGTTTCCTGCTTACTGAAAATCTCATAATGAAATGCAAATGAATGCGTAAGCTCAAATTATTTTCTCATTCGAAAGATGTTTAAGACCATTTTCATTGAACTCACATAGAACTCTTTCCACACTGTTAAATTAATTCATTATTAAATTTCGAATTTAAAAAAAAAAAAAGCGTTTTTATCCCACCCATAACGCTTTTTTTTATCATAAGTCACAATTATTGTTAAATAGAAGTCCCAATTTTTGTTTAATGTTGCTCACAAATTAATATTTTTACTGAAGAGGAAAATGCCAGCTAAAACGTTTTTATAATCGATCAAATCATTACCGTGAAGAAATCAAGCTGTTAATCACAGTAAAGAAAGAATTAAAAACCTCGACATTCGATTACACTTAGAAACTATATCACACGTATCTAACTACTTTCTTTCTGTTATTTTTCCTCTGTTTTATCAGTCAATCAAACTGGTTTTGTTGCTTTCAATCACGTTTTTCTTCGAATTGGCCTTCATAATGAATCGTCAAATTTTGATTAAAGATTTTCTCATTATAATATTAATTTGCGACACTTAAAGAACTTCTTTAACGAGTCATTAAGCCCTACGATAATGGGAAATCTATAACTTACGATTCTCATTTCTTTGGCTTTTTTTATAGACAGCTGAAGTTCCTGCAGATCCCGTGAAACTTCTTTGAAAGGCATCTGCAAAGAATGCAACGTGGCATCAATGATAAAATGCAATAAATGAAAATATATAAATAAAATACTCAGCACTCTACTCTAATACTTAAGTTTATTCGATACTCAGATTATTTTAGGGTGAAATAATAATTGATCGTGTGCGTTTGCAAAAGCTAACTGAGGTAGGATTTCGCGATCTTTCTCTCCATGACATACAAATGATTTTTAGTCTCTAATTCCAAAAAGACATCCACGAAGGCAAGTCAGTAGAATATTTATTCAGATTAACTAACAAAGTACATGAAGGGTTCATTATAAAACAATAACAAATCAGATTTTCGAAATTTCTTCTTTAAAATACATAAATAATTTACAAATTTCATTTATGAAAGAATTCATAACACAATAAGGACAACAAAATTTCTAAGTTTTTGAAACATAAAATCGTTGCTAAAACAAAAAATTATTCATTATAATTTAGTTGCAATTCCAAGCCACACTATTTAAAATATTTAGATATTTTGCCATTTCTAGGCCCTTTATTGATACTAATAAGTTAATATCTACCATTCGACGATTTTTCGCGAACTTTTCAGACGTTTAAATCATTTACGAGTTTTTCTACATCTATTTTTTAAGTTAGAGTTTAAATTGAAAAAAAATTGCATTTGGCGATTCAATCTTTAAATAAACATGAAAGCGAAAATTTGAGAGCTTTGGCATTAATTACGTATAATTTTGGTTCTTGTTAGTGTTACCAGACTCCTGAGAAAACGAAAAAAAATGACAGTAAAGCTTCTAAAAGAATACTCAAATACTCGCCATTTTACCTTTCCAAGATAAAAACTTAGAAATTTCTTTTCTGAAAATTTTAAATGAGAAAAATAAATCTTTACGTCTTCGAATTTTCAAACACAAAATTTTTCAATAGATATTTCTTAATTTTCTCAGGATGCTGCCAACTCTAATTAATGCATTAGCCCAACTTCCAACTGCAGAGAAAAATAAAGCTATAAGAAATATTTTTTTCAAGTGGTAACAAACCTTGATTTCAAAGATCGGATCTTCACGTTCTTGAACTCAATTGCAATAGTTTGATAGGGGGACCTCAAATATGCCCATTAACTAGTACAGATGATATTTTAAGTTACAAAATCAGACACGAAAACGTACTTTCTCTGAATAAATTAAACTTTTTTTAACGAATTCGGATTTCTGACTTCTAAAATATACGGAGTAGTCACGCATGAACTCATAATTTGAGCACAATCGGTCAAATAGTTCCTGAGAAATGGAATTTTAAAAAAATTGCATGATTAAAATTCGATTTCTTAGGAACTAATTGACGAATTTTGCTCAAATTTTGCATTTTGCCCTGTAAAATTGCATTCTTTAAAATGATGTAAAAAATTTTATACCTTAGAGTTAAAAATTTCTTCGACCATTATTAAATAAAATAATTAAAAATATTGAATATTTATTGAAAAAAAATTGTTTTGTGTAAAGCTAGCTTCAGATTAATGAATTTTGTAATTGTATCCAAAAATTTTACAATTCGTTTTAAAAGTTCTTAAGAAAGGACGACATTCGCATGAAGGAGTCCAAATTTTAGACAGTTTTTCTGACCAAATCATGAGGGCCATATTTCCCAGATTGTGGCTAATCCCTATATTTTTGGGGTCAGAAATCCGAATCCGTAGATAAAACGGCATCTTTAATCAGAGAAAGTACGTTTTTGTGTCTGATTCAGTAACTCAAAATATCGTTAGCATTAATCAGGGTTGGCAGGTTTTTGACATGTGACAGTTTTTGACAGTTTAAACCATGGTTTAAACCGTCATGTCAAAAACCCCATTGTCAAAAATGTCGAAAATGTCAAAAACCTATATTCATATGTGAAATTTAATTAATACATAAAATTTATATATTTTTTAAAGGATAGTGTTTCTAAATATGTTCTAGAAAAAATAAATTTTAAATTTTGAAGAAACACTTATATTTTGAATAGTAACTAAAATCTTGTACTTTTGAAAACTNTACCTTACAGTTAAAAATTTCTTCGACCATTATTAAATAAAATAATTAAAAATATTGAATATTTATTGAAAAAAAAATTTTTTTTTTGAGTAAAGCTAGCTTTGGATAAACGAATTTTGTAATTGTATCCAAAAATTTTACAATTCGTTTTAAAAGTTCTTGAGAAATTACGACATTCGCATGAAAGAGTCCAAGTTTTAAACCGTTCTCCTGACCAAACTATGGGGAGCATATTTCCCAGATTGTGGCTACCCCCTATATTTTGGGGGTCAGAAATCCGAATACGTCGTTAAAACGGAATCTCTAATCCTAGAAAGTACGTTTTTGTGTCTGATTCAGCAACTTAAAATATCGTTAGCATTAATTAATTGGCTTATTAAAGTTTACCCCCTCGAACTATGAAGATTGAGTTTTGGAACGTGAAGATCCGATCATTAGATCAAAAGTTCTTCAGGGTGGTACTTTTCTTTGCGCACTGTATATAAAAGGTCAGCTAAACCAATAATTGCGTTCCCAAGTTCTGATAAAAGCATTGTAAAACCTCTTTCGGTGAAAACAAAACAATATCTGCTTTAAATCACAAACTTCTCTTCGTAAATACCTCAAATATTGGTGGGAATGCACAAATGTGGGTACATATAGCGGTTTATAACAACACGAAGTGGATATTTCATTCTGTTATCTTTATTCTTTAGCTTCAATAACCCTGAATTTCAGATGAATTGATAACATAAATATAAATATTTATATTATCAATTCATGATGGTAAACGGAATCATCTTGTTTTCGCTAAATAAATTTCTATAATGAAACACTTGTGTTACAGCATCTTTTTAATTTTTGAGAACAGGATCCCGGTCTTTTTAAAATATTTTCAGAATATTATAAAATTTTGCATAATTTAGTAATAAACTCTCCACCACATCATAAAATAATTTGAAGAAGGCATCCCTGCTCTAGGCACTGATGGGTAAGAGAAAGAGCAGCTGCAAATACTTTTTCTTAAATCGCAAATTAAATCGGAGATAGTTGCTAAGATACGTTTATTTTGTTTGAAAAATGATTCTATATTTCAGTGGCTGCTTATTATCTTATTACAGGAACTTACAACAAGGCGAAGAAACATCTACTTCGCTAATCAAATGATTCAGCAATCAAATAATTTATCCTCATTTATTTCAACAGTGAATTCACAAAGCTCTAAATTGAATTACCCAGTAACAAACTGTCTTCAGACAGTTGAACTGAATTCATTGAAAAAAATGAAAAGATAGGCTGTCATTTCATTCTAGGATATTCTTTTTCGTGTGATAAATAGAATCATTCTTTTTGTGCCCCGGATATGATACAAACACGTGTTTTCTTCGGCTGACATTAAGATTTTTCGAATCTTAAGTTTACTTAACGTCAGCTGTAATAAACAGATAAGATAAAAACAGAAATATGTTAGTTCAAAGTTCCAAGGTTAAAAAAAAAATGTGCAGCAGCATCTTGAAAATGAAACTGAGGCAAGGAAAACATAATAATAATAAAAATAAAATCTTATTTTCATCAATCATCCATAAATAATCAAAATTTTCAGAATCAGGATTTAAAAAGAAAGTCTAAGCTAGATCGTATGACTTAGCTAAAGTCTGCTGCATACCAGAAAAGATAAAAGAATATACCAGAAAAACATTTCACTTTTTTTAAGAAATAAAACTATTTGTGACTATCCAAATAAATCGGGGTGAAATATTCCGAGAAAATACGGTAAATTATAATATCCACAAATAAGTTAGTAATAATTTACAAATAAGTCTGCACAAATAAGGTACATCTTTGCACTATAAAGAATGCTCGCCCCAGTACGTAAAAATTCCATCATAATTATTCTGGAGTTCTGTTTTTAATTTTTCACACTATACAATAATGTAAAGTAAACCGATTTCCTGCGCTTGAAACTATTATTTTCTTTATCACAATACAGACACTCTTTGAGAATGCATAAGTATAATGATATTTTAATGACCATATTTTGATAGCAGAATTAAGCGGCCATTCCTGTCGCGGTAACATCCTTATCAAAACATAACGATTAGAAACTTAATCCGTTTGAGCCTAGCGTTCATTTAACATAACGTTTTCTTTTCCCCCCCCAAAAAAGAATTAAGTGGTAACACAAGAATACATACTTAGAGGCCCTAAAACCAGAATGTATGGTTGGTAATTGGTAATAAGGGCTTTTAGAAATTTTAAAAGTTTCGATTTAATTGTAATTTTAGGCATTTAATTGGTCAGTTTTAAGAATTTCGGTAGATTTCCTTCAATTTAAAAATTCAATTCAAAATCAATCTGAGGTAAAATATCCTTACAGATCATGAGTTAGAGTCCCCTGGCCGCGGGGCTAACTGTGGAATGTTTTCGCGGTTTTCCTCTCCGAGTAACGCACTTGCAGGTTAGGCCAATTTCTCCCGATCTTGATCCAGAAATTCCCTTATCCTCTGGATTGGGTTCAAAATTACAAGGCTACGGAGTGAATATTGATAGTCACAAACCCATAAATAGGTCGGCTGTTCAACGACGGTTATAAAATTAAAAATTTACATATTTATTTAGGTAGATAGGAATTAGGTGGTAGATAAGGTCCGTAGCAGAACAATCAGGACCCCTTTAAATTTTTCAAGAAACAGAATTACATTATTATCATATATATATGATCAGATATGTTCTAAAAATTATTTGCCCCCCCCCAAATGTTTTCACCCTTCTACATGTCTCAGAATTAGTATAAATAATTTTTTGCTTCAATCTTTTACTACGACTTTTATAATTTTTGCCGGTTGTCTCGATCTGGGTGTTAGGTTTTATTTTATCTAAACAAGATAGTTCTGTTTATCATAGTAAAAAATTTAAAAAAAAATTCTTTTTCTTTATTTATTGTAACTGCTAACACGGCAAGTATCAAAAAATAGATATCAGCCGAAAGCATCGACTTGGTATAAACAAATTATAATTCATTCCACGAACGCATTTTTAGTGTTCTTTTTAGACCCAGTATCCAATATACTGGGCCACATTTGGTGCTATTTCATCACTTAAAAAAATTGTGGACAGTCCGGGGAACACCCCTGAAGATTATCCGAAGACATGTTATCACAATTTTGATCCTCTACAGAGATGAAGGCTCCCCCGCTCTAGAAATTCAACACCCTGAGGGCGAAGTCGAGCACTTTACGGTAGAACAGTTTAACGACAGGCCCGATACAGAGTATCCTCGGTTATTCTCGCAAAGTGGTCACCCACCCGCTCACAGACTGCTACCAGTAATGCTTGATTTCGGTGATCTACTGGGAACCGTGTCTTACGATCAATCCACTTTGTGGCCAGCAGGATACATAGAACACTCTTAGTTTCCAGTCATTTATGGGATAATAGACTTTCATAACCCTTTTTACAAATGAATTTTTCGTGACATTTCATCACAGTTAATCTTCTAATGGTCGTCTAATTTTGAAATAACGGCTGAAAAAGTGTCCTTTTTTTTTACTCACGCAAACTATGTTTAACTAAATGTATAAACAATATATATATATA